CACAGCTCATTAGCACACTAGGCCGCACCCCCATGTTACCAGAAGTGTGGTCATCCAGCCACACCCACCTTTTGCTTCTTATTCTGTTGACCTTGTTTGTGGTCAAAACCCAGGGCCTTTTTTTGGAGCAGGAACTCCTTTGCATGTTAGGCCACACACCCCTGATGTAGCCAATCCTAATGAGTTTCTGCTGTTGGGTGTGGCCTATTATACTAATGAGTTCCTGCTGGGCGTGGCCAACTCGGGAGCCAGCCGGAACTCCGTTCCTGTGCGTTCCTGCCCCAAAATAGCCCTGGCAGAGGTCAAAGCCTCTCTTCGTCATCATCCCTCCCCTCCAAGAACTGATATTCAAAGGAACACTGCTCCTGAACCTGGAGGTTCCATTCTATCCTCATGACAAACGGCTACTGACAGACTTCTCCATGGATGTGCCTAATCCCTTTTTCAGTCCAACCTAACCTAGTGGCCATCCCTACATCCTGTGGCAGGATGTTACTCCTGGAGCGCTTCCTTTCGTCTGTCCCCCAAATCCTCACATTCTGCTCACTCTCTCCTCTGCTGGGAAGTGCTGAACGTCTTTGGAGACCCCAGAGAGAGTAAGTATGTTTCACCAGAGTCCAGGGAGGCGGTGGAGACTCTCAGGCCAAGAGGGTGGATCGCTACAATTTCCAAAAAAAAAACCCTTTTTCTTATGGGATGGAGGCAGACACAGTGGGTACATAACAGGGCCAGAGAAGTTATGCTCGAACAGAGTTCTGTGATGCTTCACTGCTTAAAAGGCTACAGCAAGTTTATCTAATAACAATAACGCTAATGGGAGATACACCAATGCCACTTCCAGACAAGAAATGCTTGTCTTGCAGCTCTCCCGATGAGAGAGTTTCCCAGGGGATGCAAATATTAAAATTCACTTGTGCAGCAAACGGCAACAGCAAAATACCTCCCCCCCAACCCCCCCCCAGCCCCCCCCCAAAGAAAAAAGGAAACAGGTTAAAGAAAGAAATGCAGGTAGACACGGATTCAAACAACGCAAAATGCACGAAAAATGCCCAGCCTAACTGAGGTGATCTGTTTCCAGTGAAACACCTGGGCCATCTTCTATTATTGTCATCCGTGGTCGATTCCTAGATCACTCCAGTTCTTAGGAAATGTCGATTACCTACTGAACTCTGGGTGGTCCCCAATCTGTTGGCAGATAATGATCCTGAAACCACTTATTTTGTTACAAATTTTTAATGACGGTTTTATCTGTAAAGCGACAAGAATCTGGCTTGACCCAACTGTAACAGAATTTGGTATAAACTCAGTTAACATGATCTAAATGAATATTGAAATTAATTATAGTTTTATAACTGGACTTCCTGTTTTAACATTTTAGATCTTTTAGATTTGATTATTTTGACTGTAAATTTTGATTGTAAAGTTCGTATTTTGAAGCTAACGTCGTATATCCATGTTTGATCATTGAGCTTGAGACCTTTGGTCATAGAAGCTAATAAACATTAGTAAGTAAGTGAAAAAATATTGTACCTTCAACCTAGTAAAGCCTATTCCTTCTCTGCCCTTACAATCGGCTATAGCAATTTTTTCAAGAGCCGATTTCCCCAAGCCAGGGTAACTTTGATGGTTGGGGCAGTGTGTGAGTTCATAAACTCTCCACTGCTGAAATGAAGGGAAGCCAAAACCAAAGGAAATTCAGTCCCACGTCAGAAGCTGCTGGTTAATACCGCTCATCATGAGGGCTGGAAGCACTAAAGGCTACAGACAGCATATTGGCAGCCTAGCCTACCCCACAGGGCTGTTGTGACAATAAAATGGAGGAGGAAACGGTTTACACAATTTTGTGTTCCTTGGAGGAAGGGCAGGATAAAAACACGATACTTTGCCCTGGGGTACAGGCGTTGTACATGAACACTTGAACCATGGTTAAGGATTGGCTGCAAGCAAGGATGCGAAACTGGTTTAGTTCACAAACCACGGTTTGCATTGTAATTCCGTCAACGCGTTACACCTGTACTGACCAAACCAGTGAAGCTGATTATTCTGCTTCCTACCACTTTGCTTGCAAAAAAACCAGGCAGGTCCATGGACTCTCCAGCTGGAAGGACAAGCACAGTGAAAACCATGGAATAGCTTGAAATCTTAACCAGGGTTAGCATGGGATACCAGGGTTACTGTCAACTCAGGCTGAAGACAACAAATAGTTCTGAATTTGACCCAGGCCTGTACCCCTTTCTAGACAACACGATGCACACTGCTCATATCATAAGCGGAAAACAAGGAGCATTTGGAAGCTTAACATTTAGCCATGGTTTGTTGCATTAAGCATGGGGAAGATCCCAGACACTCAATGCTCTAGCCAATGATTTCAAGAGTGCAAGTCCTTCTAGTTACAGTGTAAATATTCATATGTCACAACCGTATCTCTTTCATTCTAGATTTGTGGAGAAACAGTCCCCCTTCTTAAATTATGCCCATGGAATCCAATTCACCAATTCCAAATCGATACAAATGTATTCCATTATTTTGATAATATTGTATACAGGATTTAAGAATAAAGAATCTTAATAGATCTCATCATTGCAAATGCTTATATTCTTAAGAAATAAGTCTTGCACTTCATTACTGTTGTGGATTTTGAAATGTTGTTTTGTATTGTATTGCACTGAAAATTTAAAACAAGAAGGTTTCTTAAAGTATAGATACAATTGTCTTTAACCATGGTTAGTACCAACCATTGTGATATTTTTCATAACTAACCATGGTTAAAAAAAATGTTCCCTACTATGGCCTGTGAGATCAAGTTTCTGACTCCACCCCAAGAACTGCTAATGCAGGGGTCCCCGAGACGGTGCCTGCAGGTTTCACAGTGCCCGCCGACCTCATTCCTGGTGCCTGACGAGTTTGGGTTTTTTTAAGTGAGCAGGACCGGGGGGCATTTTGCACAGTGAGGCTTCTGATCCACCACTGGAGATCTGATTGGCCGTGCAGATGTTTGAAGACATTGCTTTGTCAGCAGCAGCCACTACAGCACAAAGGATCGTCGCCGTGTGACTCAAGGGAAGCTGCAGAAGCCACTGTGGGGCCGGCTCGGCCTCCTCTGGCAGCCATCTTGGAAGCCATTTTGTGGCCACACCCACCACACCATGTCAGAATTCCAAAGGGGCCCCTAGGCCCTGTTGGAAATCCCCTTTCCCACCAACGCTCAACGCCTGGCATACAAGCCCGAGATTATCTTATTGAATTATTGGTAAGAGGTTAAAATACCACAAATCAGAAAAGACCTAATAATGATTTCGTTTTCCGCTGCAAAAACTACCATAGCTGCTTGCTGGAAGACTCCAGAAAAACTGCAAGTTAAAAACTGGTATTCTAGAATATGGGATCATTTAATACTAGATAAAATTTCTGATTCTATAACTTGTAATGATCCTTCATTAGGTCCATCCTATTATCTGGAAAGGTGGTATCCTATCTTAGAAAAACTAGATGAGATTCTTGAAAACCAAAGAGACACTAGAAATTATCGTTACATAAACCTTTTAAAAACTAGCTGGCTACTCTAGAATAAGATAAAAGAAACATTTTTGTATTCCCCCTATTATTGTTGTAGTTTTTTTTTTATAGTTTAAATGTTTAGTACAGTTTGAATCAATTTTATATCATTGTTTGGTATTCATATGTGTATGTCAATTTTCGAAGTGTTATAACTTTGTATTCATTTACAAGAATAATTGTTTGTTGTATTTTATAAAAAATTAATAAAATATTACATTAAAAAACACGCCTGGCATGATAAGATATGGGAACAATTTGTGACGGCAAAAATCTCAGATAAATTAAATAGAGCACAAATGGATGTAACACATCACTCTAAATTTGACTCAGTGTGGTTCCCAATATTTTCTTACTTGTTAGCAAATGATATACTACCATCTAATCTATGCTACCACAGCCGGTTGACTCTATGAATTTTTGTTGAATAGTAAGGGACTTACCAATGTCAAGCATTACTTATGCTTACAGGGTTCTAAAAATATTAGATCTCATATCGTTAATATTTCTATTCTTCCTTCCCAAGTGAGGATCTATCTTTTGAAATTCTTAGCACTGTGACTCTGATAGCTAGGTATTTAATATTTTCTGATAAGTTGAAAAAATTCTATACGCTTGTACCGTATGTTGTTGCTGTTGTTTTCTCTTTTTATTTATTTATTTTTGGACAACTGCTTGTGGTTATAATATAAAATTAAAAATACATTTAAAAAAAAGAAGAAATGCGGAGGACCTCTGTGCGAATGTGCTTAGAAACACTGCTTAGTTTGTGTGTGTGGCTCAGAATTACCTCCATTTGGGGCGACTGAGCTCCATGTTAACTAAAAAAAATATTTAAAATCGGATACGGTTTCTCCAGCACAGGTTCACTGAACGAAGGAGTAATTCTCTCTGTCTCGGGCAAGTCAATGACAGAATCCAGATTGGTTATTACCCATTCGCACTTGTGCATGCATCACGGAAGGTCGTGTGCAAAACTGCCTGTTTCTGCAGCATGTATTCTGCTTGCGCGGAAGCCACCACGTGTTAGAAGAGCTTGCGCAATCTGCAAACTCCCCCTTCAGAACTTCACAGAAGCTCCAGTAAAGCCGAGGATCGGGGCCCAGAGAGCGCTTTGGCACGTAACACCGAAATCAGCAGAGGTCTGCCCCGCGAACACTAAGCTGGTGAAGAAGGCAGAACCTTGGTTGGGAAATACTTCTAACCAGAGAGTCTTTAGGAAAGGGCTTCTTCTCCTATCAGCTCTCTCACAATTTAAAGAGACCGAGCCCGTTAAAAAACAGAAAGCAGGGATAATTCAAGGCACCCGAGAGATTAAGGCAAGGAAGTGGAGCCGCAGGTGGAAAGAGCCCCAGCGTTTTGGCACTAGAAATCACGTCTCGAAGCAGAAAAGGACCCCCCTACCTTCCCTGTCCTCGTCACACAAGAAAAACCTTGGGGGGGGGGGGGTGGAAGCCCACACACGTTCAAAATCTGATCTCCGGTTAAATCCCAAAGGCAGTCAAAATCAGACAGAATGCCACTCATCCTGGCCAAAATCCTTTCCACTCCCGAATGCTGCACGAACCAGCTTTCCCACAACAGCAAGATCAAAGGTCGCAGCCAACTCCAGATCACCTCAGGGAAGACAGACTCGGGACTGTGGGATCCGGCTGGACTTTTGGAATGCGGGAGCCGTTGGCAGCGTCCAATGGTAGGTCTAAAACGATCGAGTCCGGCCTTTTTGAGAATAGCCGTTTCCAGGGCAGTCTTCCAAGAGGGAGAGGGAAAGTTCGTTCCGAGTTTTCGCTTCCGGGTGAATCGTTTCGGAATTCTCTGGGGAAATAACGAGGAGGTGGGGGAACTCTTGGAAGAAGTCAATCCGCCCCCCCTCCAGACAGGGAAAACCGGAGCAGTTAGGGGTTTTTTTTGTTCCTCTCCGTCCCCTTACTCCAGGCAAAACGCTCCCCCCTGTCCCCGCCCACACTCCTCAGATCTTAATGAACAGGATGCCGGTCACGACGGCAAACCCGGCCAAGAGGACGATGACCTTGAGGATGCGCTGCTCCGAGGAGTTGAGCTCGTGAGGCAGAATCTCCAGGAAGGTGATGTAGACGAACGTGCCGGCCGCCAGCCCCTCGAGTACGCTGCGGGAGAGGCCGTGCAGCACGGCCACGGGCGTCTCCGTCAGGACCACGCCCAGCCCGATGCCCAAGGGGGACATGATGGAGAAGAGGATCAGGCACCCCGCCACCGCTTGGACGCGCAGCCGGCTCTGGAGCAGTTTGAAGCTGAGGCTGAAGGCGATGGCGCCCTTGTGGATCACCAACGCCAGGCAGATCTCCAGGGCCTGGGCGTTCTCCTCCTGCAGCCCCACGGCCAGCCCCTCGAAGACGGAGTGGAGGGAGAGGGCCAGCAGCAGGACGAAGCAGCGGATGGCCGAGTGGGCGTTGAAATCCACGTGGACGTGGCGGCGGTCGTGGAGGGGCCCGTCCCGAGGCAGCTGCCGGGGCAGGGGCCCGTCTGGCCAGCCCTGCTCCTGGATGGTGGCGGAGTGCTGCGAGGCGGAGCCCAGCAGGGCTTGCGTCTCCTCCAGGGAGCCCGACGGATCCTTGTAGGCCAGGACTATCTGCTCCATGACGAGGACCAGGAAGAAGCCCATGGCCAAGATGAACTCTTGGAGGGGGAAGAAGAGCTGCCGGAGGGAAGGGAGAGGAGCCTCAGAAAAGGGGGACCCGCGAGCACACTCGGAACACCCTCGTCTCAATTTACCCGGCTTGGTGGTCAACGGGATCTTGCCAGTTCCTTCCCCACCCTCCTGGTTCTTCCATTCATGTACCTCTCTCCCCCCTGGTCAGTCGCTGTTTTTATCATGACTGTAGGGGAGTATTTCCGGGAGGAGATTGTACTGGAGCCAGGACAGGCAGTGTGGTGTAGCCGTTAGGGTCAGTCTAGAATCTGGGAGTCCCAGGTTTGAACCCCTGCTATCCCATGGAAGCTTAATACTGGGTGACCTCAGCCAGCCACACACTCTCAGCCTCACCTACCGCGCAGGGTGGTTGTGAAGATAAAAGGGAGGCGAGAAGATTTCGGGTCCTCGCTGGGTCTTCACCTACCTCACGGGGTTGTCGTGAGGATAACATGGAGGAGAGAACAATGTTTTCAGTCCTCACCTACTTCACGGGGTTGTTGTGAGGATAAAATGGAAGAGACAACAACGTTTTGGGTCCTCACCTACCTCACAGGGTTGTTGTAAGGATAAAATGGAGAAGAAAACAACGTTTTGGTTCCTCACATACCTCACGGGGTTGTTGTGAGGATTGAATGGAGGAGACAACAATTTGGGTCCTCACCTACCTCACAGGGTTGTTGTAAGGATAAAATGGAGAAGAAAACAACGTTTTGGTTCCTCACATACCTCACGGGGTTGTTGTGAGGATTGAATGGAGGAGACAACAATTTGGGTCCTCACCTACCTCACAGGGTTGTTGTGAGAATAAAATGTAGTAGAAAACATTTCGGGTCCTCACTGGTCTTCACCTACCTTGCGGGGTTGTTGTGAGAATAAAATGGAGGAGACAACAACATTTTGGGTCCTCCTCACCTACCTCACAGGGTTGTTGTGAGGACAGAGGAGAGAACGTTTTGGGTCCTCACCTACCTCACAGGGGTGTTGTGGGGATAAAACGAAGGAGACAACAATGTTCTGAGTCTTCAACAGGAAGAAAAGTGGGGAATAAAGGAAGTAAGCCCTGACCTGTGTAGTCCAGGCTAGCCTGATCTTGTCAGATCTCGGAAGCTAAGCAGGGTCAGCCCTGGTCAGTATTTGGATGGGAGACCACCAAGGAATTCCAGGGTTGCTACGCAGAGGCAGGCAGTGGCAAGCCACCTCTAAACGTCTCTCATCTTCAAAACCCCACCAGGGGTCGCCATAAGTCAGCTGCTACCTGAGGGCACTTTCCACCACAAAAGGAAGTAAAGAAAATAACAACAGATAAGACTGCACTGCCAGGGTCCCAGGCCATGAGGTTTTTTTGTTTTTCCCCCTCGGTAGGATTGGCCGGTCTCCTCTGCAGAGACTGTGGCGCGTCATACTCCCCCCAAAGGCCAGAAACGCCGACTCCCCGTCCCCACCCTCTCCCTCACCGTGATTCCCAAATCGGCCAGGGCCTCGTTGATGCTGCTGAGGTAATCGGGGATCAAGTCCAGGAGACAAGTCGCCAGGAAGACGCCGCCGGCAAAACAGCTCACCAGGCTCAAGGTTTTCCTTCGAGTCGCTGTCAGAAGAGAAAGAAAGAGCTATAGAATCATAGAGATGGAAGGGGGCCATACAGACCATCTAGTCCAGTGGTGGCGAACCCATGGCACGGGTGCCAGAGGTGGCACTCAGAGCCCTCTCTGTGGGCACGCGTGCCATTGCCCCAGCCAGGCCCAGACCATCATTAAAGTGTCAAATTCTCTGCCAAATAATTTTAAGTAAATGAAAGCATTTGGGATTGCTTTCCTTACTTTGTTTGGATCCTCTTAAGTTAATGTGTGAGTTGTTTCTTCTAAAGTAAAACCTCAGTATTCAGGTTAAATCGCCGTGTTGGCACTTTGCGATCAATAAGTGGTTTTTGGGTCGCAGTTTGGGCACTCAAGTCTCTAAAAGGTTCGCCACCACTGATCTAGTCCAACCCCCTGCTCAACGCAGGACCAGCCTAGAGCATCTCTGACAAATATTCGTCCAGCCTCTTCTTGAAAGCTGTCAGTGAAGGGGAGCTCACCACCTCCTTAGGCAGCTGATTCCACCTTTGAATCACTCTGATCGTGAAAAAGGTTTTCCTAATATCCAGCCGATACCTTTCTGCGTGTAATTTAAACCCGTTGCTTCGGGTCCTCTCCTCTGCTGCCCACTGGAACAGCTCCTTGCCCTCCTCCAGATGACAGCCTTTCAAATATTTAAAGAGAGCCATCCTGTCCCCCCTCAATCTCCTCTTCTCCAAACTAAACATTCCCAAGGCCCTTAGCCTTTCCTCGTAGGGCTCAGTCTCCAGACCCCTGATCATCCTCGTCACTCTCTTCTGCACCCTCTCAATTTTGCCCACATCCTTTTTGAAGTGAGGCCTCCAGAACTGCACACAGTACTCAAGGTGGGTACTTAAGCAGGAGAAGGGTGGGGTGGATCCTACCCCTATCCTACCGCTCCCCTGAGCAAAGCATATTTATTAAAACATTTATACCCCAAGCTTCAAATCCTTCCTCCAGAGCCAGTTAAGTCAGAGAAAAGCTCCATAGGTTGGAGAAGTCGAATTGGAGGGAGGCTGGGTCTGCCCCAGTATGTTAATCTTGGCCTGAAGCTGGATTCCTCTAGCTTTGCACCTTCTCTGCGGCTACAAACAGGCACATCTCCCTTATAAATAAAAGTTGAATGGTAGTGGCACTTCTCTAGAACATTCCACATGCTCCAAAATCAGTTCACTCTCTGATCTGTCATTCAGAGGGTCTCCCTATCCACTGGCTGCTTTGCCTGAGTCCTGCCTCCAACATCCATAGCCAGTCAGGTTATTTGCATATGCAGCCTCATTGGCCTCTGCCTCGGAACACAGAGGTCATTTGCATATGCAACTTGATTGGCTTTTGCCTCTAACATTCTAAACAGTTTTGCTGTTCTGAGGTAAAATGTGTCCAATCTCCAGGTGAGGGCTGAGCACGGGAAAGGCTGCAGATGTGTGGGGGGTGGAAAGCTGAAGAATGAGGGGGAAATAAAGGTAGGTTGATGATTGGCTGGGAAGGAGATAGGGTTGCCAACTCCAGGTGGGAAATTCCTGGAGATGTGAGGGATGGAGCCTGGAGAGGGTGAGGTTCCAGGAGGCGTGGGACCTCGGACAGGTACAAAGCCATAGACTCCACCCTCCAAACCAACTATTCCCTTCTGGGGAACCATCGTTGCCAATCTCCAGGTGAGGGCTGGAGAGCACTCAAAATTACAACTGTTCTTCAGGTAGAAGAGATCAGTTCCTCTGGAGAAAATGGTGGACTCAGTGTCATTATACCCTGCTGAGGTTGCCACAGCAAATTGACACTGAGTGGCCAAGGCCGGGGCACCTGCCCAGAGCCTCTTTCTAGAGACCGTTGTATTTATTTCCACAACGGGCCTTTTTCCTAGTGAATCGATAATGCAGTTTCTGTCATTTAACTCCACCTCGCTTTATAGTTACCTGGGGAACACCAATGTCCCTTGAAGCACATTTGAAGAATTAACTGTGCAAGAGGAAGCGGGGTGTGTGTGTGTGCCATTATCGAAGCGTTTGGGTTTGTTTCTTTGTAACAATGCAAACATTAGGGAGGTGGGATTTAAGTGGTACAAGCGAACACGTTTTGAGGAGCAGAAAGTGGGTGGGGCCAGGTGGATCTATAGCCAGTTTGGTATAGTGGTTAAGAGCGGCAGACTCTAATCTGGGAGAACCAGGTTTGTTTCTCCACTCTTCCACATGCAGCTGCTGGGTGACCTTGGGTCAGTCAAAGTTCTCTGAGAGCTGTTCTCTCAAGAGCAGTTCTCTCAGAGCGCTCTCAGCCCCACCTACCTCACAGGGTGTCTGTTGTGGGGAGAGGAAGAGAAGGAGATTGTAAGCTGCTCAACTCCAAGTAAAGTGCAGGGTATAAATCCAATCTCTTCTTCTTCTGCCAAGCTAGGCTTGTGATTGGCTGTGGTCCCCCCCCCAAAAAAAAAACCAGGTTCCTTTGGCAGCAGCTGCCACTGCAGTACAAGGATCTTTGTTGTGTGACTGAAGGTAACTGGCAGCAGCCATTTTGTGGTCAGCTCCGCCTCTTGAGGCAGCGGTTGTGTGGCTGGCTCCACCTCATGTGACAGCTGCTACGTGGCAGCCATTTTGTGGTTATTCCCACCATGCTGTTTCAAAATTCCAAGGGTGCCCACAGGCTGAAAACAGTTGGGGACCCCTGGCCTAGAGGTTTATATTAGAAGAAGAGATTGGATTTATACCCTGCCCTTCACTACCCAAAGGAGTCTCAGAGCAGCTTACAATCTCCTTTCCCTTCCCCTCCCCACAACAGACACCCTATGAGGTGGGTGGGGCTGAGAGAGCTCTGACCGAAACTGCCCTTGAGAGAACAGCTCTGAGGAAACTTGTGACTGACCCAAGGTCACGCCAGCAGCTGCACATGGAATCAAACCCCATTCTCCCAGATTAGAATCTGCGCTCTGCGCTCTTAACCACTACACCAAACTGGCTCTCTGGGAGTCATTCTCTGGGACTCAAAAGATCTGGAGAAGGGAGCAATGAAAAAACAACCCGGGAACACCCAGAACAGGGCATTCCCAAACCACAGAGCCAGCGCACTAGAGTGGACACAGAATGTCAGACTACAATCTGGGAGACTCGGATGAATCCCCATCCTGCCAGGGAAGCCGTGTAGGGGGACCCTGGGCCACTCACACCCTTCCCAGCCTAACCCACCTCACGGGGTTGTTGTGAGGAGTAAACAGAGGAGAGGAGAATGATGCCGTCCATTTTGGGTCCCCACTGGTGAAACAGGAACGAGAAAACAAACACCATGCTGTCATGCCTGCCCTTGACTCAGCCCCAGAGCCAGCTCCTGACAGCCTAAGAGGGGAGGATTCAGTGCCTTTAAGAGCTGGAGAAGCATCGGGATCTGCACCTACTGTAAGTACTGAGGAGGATACACAGCAAGCTGAGTCAACTACAGGACGGTTTGCACCTGGGATTGAGCAGGCCATAAGCAGCTCACCACCTGCATCTCCCCCACCTGTAAGTAGGCTTAGGGATCAGAGACGTCAGGAGCTGGCTAGCCGACGAAAAGAAGCACATTCAAGAGGGCGGAGATCCTTGAGCCCTGAGTTTTAACAGCCGCCAGGACCTCGCACAAGGGTGCTAATGAGTTAATGGGCCAGAGCACTATTTAGTAGGGCCTCTGGCCATGAGCAATTTGTGCTGGCAACCTCGTTCGTAGAACCAGAAGCTCTGCACCTGGAGTCCTGTTTGACTCTGTGGCTTTTTGACTCCGCTTGTGTTTGGACTGCTCTGGCTCCTGACTTCCAGCTTTGAACCTGACCACGCCCTCGGCTCTGCTCCCTGTACTCTGACCTCTGGTAACGTTTGACTACGGCTTTGTCTGGTGTTTTGGGACTTGTTTAATGCTCTGCTGACTGCTCTCCCGGCTGACCTTTGGACTTGTATTGTGACTCCCCCTATCTGCCTGCCTCCCTGGCTCTACCGTGACACATGCCCTGTTAAGGCCTGATCGATCCTTACCTGACGAGCTGGTTGAGCTCCTGGGACGATGGAAGACCCACAGAGGCAAGAAGCCGCACACGAGGGTCACAAACAGCAGCAGCGCCAGCGAGCCCAGCTTCACCTCCAAACCCAGCGGAGAGTGGGCCGCCGCAGGCCGGGAATAGGGACGCCACACCAGCTGGTCCAGCTCAGGTTCAGGTCCCCCCGGCTCCGCCATTGCTCCGGAGAGAGGTTTCGAACCCAGCTCCTCCATGAACCGAAGAGGCTTCCTCTCTTCTTCTTCTTAGCTGCTTGCTCACTTCTTCTTATCCGCAGCACGGCCGACGGGAGGGCAACTTCAAACGGCACAAGCCATCGCCGTCTGCTCCGTCCCCAATTTGTTTCGGCAAGCCGAGAGAGACTGGGACCTGGCAGAACTCACCCTGGAGGAGGAAACAGAGCAAAAAAGAGAGGGTAGGAACCAAAGTGCTGGGTGAGCAGGGGGAAGGAGGGAAGGCATTCTGAGGCGCACCCGCTGTCATGGATAGAAACGGCGGTCATTCAGAGAGGAGCTGCCCTAATAAGTCACCCCACACTACATTGTTTGCTTCCCTGGTCAGCCTCCTGCAGCACTCCCCTTAGTCTGCTCCTCATAACTCTGGCTCCTCCTCTTCCTGTCACGTGACCCTGGCCACGGGTGCAGGATGGGGTATAGAGTTGCAAGGAGTTAGAACTCTGCTAGAGATTTGGGGATGGAGCCTGGGGAGGACAGGGACCCCAGTGGGGTACAATGCCACAGAGTCCACCCTCCAAAACATCCATCTTTCTCCAGAGGAACTGATCTCTGCCGTCTGGAGATGAGCTGTAACTCCAGGTGATCCCCAGGTCCCACCTGGAGGCTGGCATTTCTATGCAGTCGTCACATCCTAACAGCTCAAAGGGTCCCGGAAACAAAATGGTTGAAGACCCCTTTTCAGCACCATTATTTTACCAACCTAGAAGAGAAGATGAAGAGACTGAATTTATACCCCCCCCTTCACCACCCAAAGGAGTCTCATGGTGGCTTACAATCTCCTTTCCCTTCCCCTCCCCTGCCCACAACAGACACCCTGTGAGGTAGGTGGGAGCTCTGAGAGAACTTGTGACTGACCCAAGGTCACACCAGCAGCTGCATGGGGGGGGAGTGGGGAATCAAACCAGGTCCTCCCAGATTACAGTCCGCGCTCCTGACCACTACACCAAACCTAGTTTCACAAGGCAGCCATGCTGATCAGCCGTAGAACGGCTAAGATTCGAGTCCAGCTCCACCCAAGAGCTTACGCCCCAAGAATCTTGATGGCCTCTAAGATGTTACTGGACTCGAACCATTTTATGAGAGTCTGTGAAGAGGGTTTTTGCAGCAGTAACTGAATTCCGCAGGCCGCAGAATCGATCCTTCGCCACCATTTCCTTTCCACAGGGCAGGCCGATCTTTCTTTCTTTCTTTAAAAATATATTTTATTAACTTTAAAGATACAATTATATTAAATTTTCAATATACAGTAATTTTCAAATAACAATATCATAACAAACATTAATTAAACAGTATAACATATAACTAACCATAATGAAACTTAACATAGGTCTATCGTTTTTTAAAGGATGTCCTCTGCTATTTCCATTTGTAAACTTAAAAATTCCAAAATTGGTAACCAAACTGAATATTCTATTTTATATTTTTCATAAGGTACATTATTAATAGTCCACTTAATTTTATCCATTAAGTATAATTGCCAAATATTTTCAAACCATGGTGATAAAGAAAAATAATGTTCGTTCTTCCACTTTTGCGCTATTGTCAATTTTGCAGCATGTAGTAATATAACAATTCTCATATTGTTCATTGGTGATATCTTCAGTTTACCTCTTATATTTAACAATATTACCTCAGACTCAAAAGGCACAAAAAATTGTGTAATATTTTCAATACTTTTTAACACATTTTCCTAAAACCATTGTAACTTAGAACAAAACATCCAACAGTGTAAATATGTTCCTCTTTCATTACAATTTCTCCAACAATTAGGGTTTACCTTTTTAATGTGTGCAATTTGCACTGGAGTTAGATACCAAAAAGTCATTATTTTAAAATTTTGTAGTCGAATGGAAACTACTGTTGATTTATATTCTTGTGTATTCCAGATTTCCTTCCAAGATTCCTCTGTCAATTGGAAGTTTAATAATTTGTTCCATCTATTTTGATAAGATAAATGTAGTCCACCTTTTGTCCGTGCAAGTATCTGAATTATTTTAGGCAGGCCGATCTTTCCATCTGTTACTCTCCCTCCATGTCAGGTCACATCCAAGGCTCCTTCTAAGCTGTGGAGTCCTGTGAGCAAAAATTCTACTTTGTGAGCTACCGGCATTAAAGTTGTGAACGAGCGATTTGGCTACTGCATAAATTAGTTTGCTCTGGAGCCGTCCTTCCTGAGCTAAGACAAAAATGTGTGTAAAAAAGGTAAAGGTTTCCCTTGATCGAAAGCCAGTAGAATCCGACTCTAGGGGGCAGTGCTCATCTCTGTTTCCAAGCCCAAGAGCCAGCGCTGTCCGAAGACGTTTCTGTGGTCATGTGGCTGGCTGGCATGACTAGACGCTGAGGCGCATGGAACGCTGTTACCTTCCCACTGAAGTGGTACCTATTTATCTACTTGCAATTTCTTGCTTTCGAACTGCTAGGTTGGCGGGGGCTGGGACCAGAGACGGGAGCTCACAATCCCACCTCAAAACCTCTAGGGACTCCCCAGGCCAGGCCCCAAGGCTCCCTCCCTCCCTGAAAGGCCAAAGGAGGCCTGGAAGGGGCCCTTCCCCCACACCCTTTGACTCACAGAGCCGGTTATTTTTCCCTTCCCCCCCCCCCCCCCCCACCTTCAAACCTGAATACAGGAGCCACCTTTTCAAGATCGGGGTGCAATCTCTCATGGAAACCTTTTTTTCCCCACCTTTCCCTCCACTCAATATTTATCTTTTTTTAACGGTTTATTTATTGGTTTTTCTCTTAGTAGTTGTTTACAAACATTTCTCCTTACATCTTTGAGTCTACACATTCCACACTTTATCAATCCAAATATACAATCTTTCCCATCTTCCCAAAAATACTTTTTCATTTTCCCTTGTAATATCAAGCTTAACTTATCCATTTCTGCCACTTCTAAGAGTTTATAACTGATTTCTTCTATAGTGGGGAATATGTTTTGCTTCCAATATCTGGCCAACAGTATCCTTGCAGTTGTCAAAATATATACTAGCAAAAATTTATCATTGTAGTTATAACTCTCCAGTATCATATTTAGTAATGCTATCTCTGGGGTTAATAATATTTCTACATTCATAATATCCCAAATTAGTTTTTGTATCATCTTCCAGTATTTTTGCGTTCTCCCACATCGCCACCACATATGAAAGAATGTCCCCACATTTTTTTTACACTTCCAACACAACTTGGACATCGACGCTTGGCATTTACTTATCCTATCTGGTGACCAATACCACCTGTGGAAGACCTTATAAATGTTCTCTTTATAATTAGTTGCTCTCATATATTTTAACGTTTTCCATGTAGTCGACCATTGATCTATTGTGTGCCCATGTGGAAACCATTTTTATACTGCCTCACATTTCAAAGGCAGCACACCTGTTAAAATACGTAGTCGTCTTTACTAGAAACTACCCCCAAAGGAACAAAAGGCAACTGCCCCAGAATTCAAAAATGCAACAAAGCTAATAAAAATAATTGGGATAATAACCACAATTAAAAAACAAGGCAGTGGCCAGTTCAACAACACACCAAGAATGTAGACACACAAACACATTAATTTTAAAAAATCAAGTAACAACAATTGCTGTTAATTAAAAAAAGACACAAATCATTGAGATTATGCCGGATAGTGGTTAAGAGGGTTGGATTACAAGTAGGAATAAGAAGCTAGAGAGGGAAGAGTGGAAAATCCAGGGAATAAAAACAACCCTCACCAAAAAAAACTTTTTTGCTTTTTTCAAAAGGGAAAAAGAATGGAATTTTTGGTGAACTCTGGGGCAAAAAACCTTACAAACCCTCGTGAAATATTCTTTCTTTTGGAATGACTGAAGGGCTGGTAAAGGCAAGGTTTTGCTCCCTCCAGATGTGTAGCCTGAAGATTAATCCCCAAGACAATGACTGATGTGATCCTGTTTTGTAATTCGCTTCCTGATTGCCTGAAACTGTATCACAACCGTCATCTGCCTTGGCTCTCAGTGAGAAAACCACGGTACAAATGAAAATAATAACGCACTGGGGAATTACAACTTCCGTGCATGCTGTACAATGTTAAACATACTTGTTGTTCCAAAGTAACTAATTTTTATCCACAATTAATATGCTAGAATGCATCTGACGATAGAGCTTTCCCTGACGCTCCCTCCTGGAACTGGCAGAGTTTTACTGCCTCTGAACATGGAGGTTCCCTTTAGTCACCGTGGCTAGCAGCCACTGAGAGACCTCTCCTCCAATAATCCGGAGAGACAGTATGGTGCATTGGTTATGAATGTTGGACTAGTACATGGGAGACCCAGGTTCAAGTCTCTGCTTGTGCCATGGAAGCTCGCTGGGTTGCCTTGGACCAGTCACGCTCTCTCAGCCCCACCTACCTCGCAGGGTTGCTATGAGGGTATGGTGGAAGACAGGAGAATGAATTATGTAAGCTACTTTGGGTTGCCATTGGGGGAAAAGATGGGGCGCAAATGAATTACGTAAATAAAAATAAATCTGTCCAATCCCCTTTTAAAGCCATCTGTGCCTGCGGCCGTCGCTACATCCTCTGGCAGCGAATCCCACATTTTAACCACTTACTGTACAAATAAGTATTTCCTTTGCCAGTTTGCTGTAGTGGTGAAGAGCATGTTAACGAAGTTCTTTCAGTTACAAGTTCTTTCAGAGCTGTTCTCTCAAGGGCAGTCCTCGAAAGAGCTCTCTCATCTTCTTTTACCTCACAGGGTGTCTGTTGTGGGGAGGGGAAGGGAAAGGAGTTTGTGAGCCGCTCTGAGACTCCTTTGGGTAGTGAAGGGCGGGGTATAAATCCAATCTCTTCTTCTTCTTCTTTTACCTCACAGGGTGTCTGTTGTGGGGAGGGGAAGGGGAAGGAGTTTGTGAGCCGCTTTGAGACTCCTTTGGGTAGTGAAGGGCAGGGCATAAATCCAATCTCTTCTTCTTCTTCTTTTACCTCACAGGGTGTCTGTTGTGGGGAGGGGAAGGGAAAGGAGTTTGTGAGCCGCTCTGAGACTCCTTTGGGTAGTGAAGGGCGGGGTATAAATCCAATCTCTTCTTCTTCTTCTTTTACCTCACAGGGTGTCTGTTGTGGGGAGGGGAAGGGGAAGGAGTTTGTGAGCCGCTCTGAGACTCCTTTGGGTAGTGAAGGGC